GTCGTAAATAATCATAAACGTAAACAGTTATTACTGTTTATAAACAGTAAATAAACTAAATAGTTGGAGCCTTAGAGTCAGCGACGTTCAAAGTTCAAACTCTAGTATATCAAAATACCCCCCAATTATCGTGTTCAGAACTCAAATATCCTGCCCCAGTGAAATCGGCTACACCCACGAGATCTAGTAAGACGAATGACACGCCTCCAAATTAACCTTTGATATACGACAGGAGACGACACGCTATCTCATGTTGCCCGAGTATTGTGCCTCGGCCAACACAGGGTCCCGGACTTACCAGGACAACTTCCCGGTGCATGGGAGCGTGATGTGTAAATCGGTCAATTTACCCCACCTCGCATGACCAAAATCCATTGTGAACGTCAGCTGGCTGTATGACCGTGCCGAGCCCACACCTCGAGTCCTCTCGCCTCGCGTGTGAGGTCGTTACGTCCGTGTGCCATCCGTGAATGATGAATTACGGTCATCCGCGTCGCCCGAGCTCAGTTGTGTGTACGAATATGCTCACGAGGGACGTGCAGTTGCTTGTCATGGGGTCATCAAAATCGTATGTATTGCGTAACAAATCGTAACTCGACGCGAACTAGCTACCTAATGTATCTAGCTCGATATCTAAGCGTAAGGACCGTGAGGAGACATTGCCCGCAGTATAGTACTATGTACTGGATAGCAGAGACGAGACAGAGTCAAGAGCAGATGGAAGACCGAGACGGGAGCCCTAGACACAAATAAGAGCAATAAACAACAATGTGCTACACGGTAGACTGTCAGGGGTATAGAAGCAAGCACGAGGAGAAAACAAGAGAAAAAAACTAGATGTTAGGGTAGAGTAGGTGATTAGAGGTGTCGCAGACTGTAAGCGGGGGAGCGCACGGAGAGTGAGGGGCCACTCGGGATATGTAGGAGCAGCAAGTGGAGAGAAGAGCAACAGAGATAACGATGACCAAGGTGCGGAACTGGAGAGGATAAGAGTCAAAACTGTGAGTGATAGTCAGCATAACCCGCGGACCCGAGGTATCGAGCGTTACTCACCGTGGTATCTACAGGTGATTACGCGGCGAAAGACGAACACAGTAAGATAACCTGCCCAATGTGCATCGTCAACGAATCCGAAAGCAGGGCAACGAGGATGTGATAGAAAAATCGAGACTGTGAGTCCCCTTCTGAACCGAACGGCCCATCTATGATGGGGTCGCGGAAACCGGGGTTTTGTACCGAAGAGGTGTGTACATGCGTGGAATTGCTTGTGCAGCCTGAGCGGCAGAGATGGTTCTGGAACGTGCCACAGGAACAGGAGGGGGAGATCTGGGGGCAGACGGCGGGATGAAGTGCGTGCCCAGCATGCCTGTGGGTGGGCTGGATGCCTCAAAGTTGGGGATCCATCGCTGGATGAGCTGGACGCGCTTCGCATCCTTTTCTGCCTTCTGTCTCTCACTCTCCTTGTGGCTGTCCTTTTGGATCTGAATCTCGTCTGAGCTGGAGCCACTCGACGTCGAGCGCACCATCTTGAGCGGTGACGGCGTCGAGACGGACATCCTACGGGAGCGTAGCTCGGGACGAACTGGGGAAGCGGGGGTGCCAGAGCGTGTCGCCGGTGTGATCGAGCGGGAGATCGCACTCGGAGGCTGCACCGAAGCCGATCTCGTATGAAGTGGAGTCGAGCTTGCCAGTCTGGCGGTAAGGGGAGAATGGACGGCAGGAGCACGGCCGTACGGGGTAGGAGATGTCGGGGACGTTGCCCGAGATCGCGGATCAGAGGCTGACGGCGACGTGGGAGCAGTCGTTTGGGGCCGCGGAGGTGAAAATGGCCCGCTGCTCTGCAAAGAGGCGAACGATCTCGGAGGTGGTGTGCTTGGGAGGTCGAGCAACGGCGCGGCGGATCTAACCTTCGCCTTGTTAGTTTCGGAGCGGAGGGTCTGGCACTCCTGAGCTAATTGTGAGTAGTCCGCGCGCTAGAATAGGAGACGAGTCAGTTCCGGGACAATTCGACAAGCTCGCTGGCAAAGGCACACGTACCAGACTGAAGAGGGGTAATGAGAGTCATCAGTATGATTGCAAATAGAACAGTGGTGATCAGCTTACCTGCGTAGCTCTGCCTCAAGCTTTGTCTTTTTCATTTCGGCCTCCTCGAGTTGATGACTCAATTGTGCCTCAGTTTGCTTAGCTGTCTTCGTAGCCTCCGAATGTGCATGATAATTCATGAGGATAGCACGCAGGAGCGCAGCGCTAAGCTCCAGAGATGAGATCTACGGCAACAGTTGGTCAGCACTGCCGAAGTCGAGTCACAGAGAGTCAATACTGCGCACCTGTTCTCGGGGTTTGACCTTGGTGGACAGCCAGTCCTGCAGCTCCTTGTGCAGCATAGAGACCTCCTCTACCGAGCACTTCTTCCCCGCCACTCTGGCCACCTTGTACTCGAGCCGTTTGGCGTGTTCCCTCGCCTTCAGGCCTGCTGAGAGGGCGTCTTCACCGTCAGACTCAACAATCACTTCGTGGATGCCTGCGCCGCCGCGTGGAGTAGACCAGCCGCTGCTGGAGGGAGTGTAGTCGACCCGCATGATGCGGATGCCATCGGCGTTGAAGACGTCTCGGCAGAAGGGGCAGCACGGTGCACGTTTTTGAGAGCTTTTATCGATGATATGGTTGCAGCAGTTGAGACATAGAATGTGTCCTGCGCGGCGGGGTAGGAGCTGGATGAGAACAATAGCTTCCGAAATTCAGCGTAGGGGACTTACCACAAGGAATGGAATGAGGATAGTTGTGCGGTCCATACTCTTCCGCACAGACGTCGCAGAGCGATCCGGGACTAAGGGCGATCATGGCGAGCGACCTTTCGTGGATAATGTAGCTGGAGGGTGGAAAGGGATGTCATTAGGGATTGTCAGAATCACGAGAGGCCGTATTTATAACAGACAGGGCCACTGCGGCCGCAAGGTTCCGGGGCCGCCTGCCAAAAGGGGACCGGTCAACAAACAAACACAGCCTGCGGCCGCCAAATTTTCGAATGCCCTCTGCCCTCCTGCGCACACGAGGAAGTCGCGAGGAGAGGAATCGGTGACTCACCTACTCTGCAGGGTTTCTGGGGCCTCCACCAGCTTTTTTCAGTCCGAGTCGTCCTCCTCTCTTCGCGTTGTTCAGGGGCGAATGGGCGGCGAAACCATAAATCGTGCTTGCAAGGTCGCTGTTCGGCGGGGACGAGAACAACAATTTGAACCTCTTCTCTGGTGTGAACTCCAGAGATTTTGGTTTGCAAGACGACTCGGACGGGGCAAGCGTTCGTGGGTGGTGTGAGAGTTAGAAACAAACTGTTTCGCAGGTCACCGCGGGCGACGACAAGCGTCGGTTAGATTCAATCTCCGCCTCACCCGGGTTAGGGTTATCAGGAACAGCGAGCTTTTCCCGATCGTCCTTTGGCCGAGACAATTGCTCCTTGTCTCGTCCGCAGGCATGCCTTACAGCACATTTTCTACCGCTTCATTCCAAAGCGGAGAAGGGCTGCAATACACGATCGGTGTAGAACCACCCTCCCCCGCATTCAGCCTCTTTCCCCTAAAGAATTGTCTCCGGGCGGAAGCAAAATGCTCGGCAGACTTCCATCTGATCATGGCTTTTGCCTCCGCGTTTACTCTTGGGTTCAAACTCTCGTATCACCAGAATCATCGTAAAAAGATGAGTCGTTTGACGTATTGAAACGTGTTACAATGTGTTCCATGACGCCGCGCAACAGCTGTATCAAGCAAGTTTGCTCCGGAGATCGACATCATGTAGCCTATTCACAGCGCTCGTCTGAGGGAGTTTCCTCAAAGCTCCTGGGAAAGGCAGCCGCCGACTCTGACGGTCTCCGAGCCGTGGGCCTGGAGAGATGGATCGGCCTGCGGTGCGGTACGTGTCCCGTGCCCACACCCTCGGCCTCGTACCTAATGCCAGCTCCCGCAGCCGTCAGAACAGTGGCATGTACCGGCAGAACACGTATCGCTACACGCTCTCCGCCTGACTTCTGCGGCGCCACCAGCTCGTAAAGGGGGAAGTCATCTCCCTCGCAGACTTTCACGTACGCCTCCCTCCTCGTCCTGGCACACCACTCACGGACGGAGCTACGCCGCCACAATCGATACTCCAGTGTATCGCATGGACGTCAGGTCCTATCCACCATCCACTTTGTCCCGCCTTAATACTTGTGTGGGAGCGCGAATAAATATCGCCACTCGCATCGATCATTATATCTCTCCGCCCACACAGATCCGAGATATTTGACATGCGATCTGCGTGCAGAAGGGTCCTAGCTATGGTCGGACTTGCCATGTTTGCGCTGACGTAGTGGAAGAAGGCAGGCGAAGGCACCGAACGTTCATAGATCTCTCACACCCTGTAATCGATAATCGCACCAAAGCAGAACGATGAAGGCATCAATATAATCGTCATTCATCTCTTCGGCCCTGGGACGCGGCAACGAACTCAATATCATAAGAGCAGTGGCCCTACGCAGCCTACCGAGCACTAGCCATGG